CAATATCTATATTCATACATTATCACACATTTGGTATAGGTGTGTTGGTTATTTGATGTTTATTACATAATATCTGTGATGCGGACGAACGCTATTATTTTTCGTCTAAGGACTTGGTTGATTGCGAGTCACTGAAGCAAGAATTTCTTCGTCCAAGTGCGTGTGCTGCGAACCAGTTATTATATTATTTCCTATATTTACCGTGTATTTTATATATAATTCTACGTTGAAACGCTGTGTGAATTGTACCGGAAGCAGATCCATATACTGTAAGAACAAAAATAATATAAAAAGAAAGACGGAAAGGTTTCCGGGTGATGCCAAATGTTCACGTTGTATTCGATACGCGTTTGTCAATATAATCCTTAAACCTATTTATAACGCCGACTGTACGTTTTAATAGAATATTGGCTGCATCATTTTTTTTATTTTTAGGTTTATTTTAGCTATTAAAATATATGCTATTCATTAAAAGTGAAATTGATATAATTTTATAGATGTTCGGAAAATTGTATTCGTTTTCATTTAATTTTGAACTTATTATACTACCATAGAAAGTACAAGTTTGTTGTGTAGTTTAATAGTATGGTTCAAATGCTATATGATAATATTGTACATATGACACCAACGTTGCTAGTTTGCCTACACACAACGCCGCCTTAGATTATACGCTTTTTAAGTGTTTATGTTGTCAAAATACTGTTAATATTAAATTTACTATTTAAATACACGAATAATTTAAGTAATATTAATTTAAGAAATTATTATTAGTTTTAAAGTCCAAAACATTTATTAAGGTTACTTTTTTTTTGTAGTAAATATCATTTAAAAATAAATTGTCTGTTTTGTTTTTAATTATAATTGATATTTTTTGGTAAATTTATTTAAAAATGTCAATACTTACTGAAATTAAAAATCAGAAAGATATTTTTGACAAGCTATTTATATATTAGATTTGTATTTGTTGTTGTGTAACAATGTTATGTTATATTCTAAGTTCAATACATACAACGTTAACTAAAGAAAAATGCTGTCGTCTATATTAAGTATCCCACCGAGTTGATTTTGTTCACTGAATTTGCTTGTGTATCCCAAAAATGCATTCCCTTTTCATAATATGTCACTGCATGAAAAAGTAATACTTCGTAAAAAGTATATGATAGTTAGATGAACTATTCTGTGGATGGCTCCCTAGGGAAAGGTATCCAAACATTCATAGAAAATTTTATAACGTCCATGTTTTATATTTAAACGTTCTCTGTGACATGTTTCCATACAATTGCAGAATGTTCCAAATTTAAATTTCATCAAGAAAAAAGGTCAATGAGTTAGTTTTGTTGTACTGCGTAAATTTTATCATATAGATTCGAACAGAAGATTTAAAATAATTTGATATTTTAGTAAATTTGATGATTTCATTCCTTCGAATTTTTGAATATTTGTTAACATTAAAGTAATTTTTGTTTTATAGAAATTCTGGAGTACAAAGTCGAATATGAAATTAATTTTAATAAAATATAGACACAAAAATTAAATTATTGAATTATATGTATGTGTAACTCACATACAAAGTCTACTCGGAAAACTACCAACTATTTAATTTCAAATTAAAATTTGATATATAAAATGCAAATAATATCTAAATTAACTGTTGAAAGCGTATTTTTATAACAACTATGTTTATTGATTAAAAACATGTATTAGTTTAATATAAATTTTTATTTTACACTACATTGTTATAACAGAATAAATCAAACACAATGGTTACACTGATTTATGTTAACTATTGTAACCTATTGATGCACAAACTTGTACTAAATAACAATTGGAGAAATTATTATAAATTGGCATGTCAAATTAATTACATAGTCATCATTCACAGTATGATAAATTCCAGATAAATTTTGAGCTACAGCGAAATTTAAAAAAATATAATCGTGTAAGATATTTTAGTAGACATAATGAATATTTTATATTACTATGTAAAACTAATTAATAAAAAAAATTATAAATATTTGTTTTAAATTAATTTTCGAAGTTGATTATAATACTATTGTGTTATAGTCAAATTACTACGAAAATTATTAAAAAAAAAATATTTATAATTTTTTTTATTAATTAGTTTTACATAGTAATATAAAATATTCATTATGACTAGTAAAATATCTTTCTCGGTTATATATTTTTAAATTTCGCTGTAGCTCAAAATTTATCTTGAATTTATCATACTTTTTTTAATTACTTTCGACTGGAACAAAAACCAGTAGCATATAAAATTTTATTTGCGAGTAACACTAAAACAATATTATTTTGCACAGTTTTGTTATAATATATTTAAAAAAAACTATAAAAACAATAAAAATATTTAACCGTTAATATTTTTATTGTAGATAGAATAAGTAATAGAAAATTTTCCCGATAGGCAGTCATTTCATTTGGTGAGTCATTTAATTGGATAATAAAGCTATTTAACAAAGGATTCGCTGTCGAAAAAAAACTTTAAACGTTTAGTTGAAGTATATCTACATTATCTAACCTCAATAGCTTTTTAAACTCTGAGAAAGATATCATAGTAATAGCCATTATTTTTAAGTAGATTATTGAACTATTGTTATAAATGTTCTGACCTTATCAATGCTGAAATTGAACTATATCTTCTAATGCCAATCTAAAATTTCGATTTGACTTTCACATAAATCAAATAAGAATTGAACTTTAATTTTATTGTTCTCCATTTAATAAAAATTAAAGTAAATTTCAGTCGACTGTATTAACAAAAAACACAGCCATAATGATGTTTTGTTACTTATTATTATACATTGACGCCACTAGAAAATAATTTTGGGGTGGGGCTATTATCTTTTTTTTTTGCTCATCAACAATTTTTTATTCTAAATCGTTATTTAAAAAAAACTCGAATCAGTAAAAAAGAAAGATCATCCAGACTAGAAATTTAAAAAACGTAAATCACTGGAAGAGGGATCTTACAATCTCCTAACATCTCTGGTTGCGTCATTGTTAAATTGAGTGGAGAAGTCATAATATATTGTGATAAATGATGGTACTGTGACAGTTTGGTATAATTTTAATATTATGTAAGTTTAATGTGTAAAATTTAATAAGTATTCTACACAAAAATCAATATTAAATTTATTATTGTTATTCATTGAGCCATCTTTTTCATTAAATATTTCTATATTATAGTAAAAATAAAAGATAACTTAAGAATTATGAAATAAAAAATAAGTCTGTTCACGACTTATTTTCTACCCTAAATCAAACCAAGTTTGACTGAATAACATGTTATGAAGAGGTGTCGTTAAATTCAATTACGAATGATCATCTGCATCAGCAGGCCTGACAATACTGTTGATGACACAGATGGCGAACACATTTGGCCATAGCATAACATACAATAGACACAGGACGAAGGACTGACGTTTTCTTAGTGGTTATGCATGTTTTCTACAATCTGACAGCAGTGTATTTAATTGACACAATAACAGTAAAATTATATCAATACTGTACATTTAGGGCTGTGCCACTCTAGTAAATACAACATATTTCTCGTTTACGAATGCGAAAATAATATACTCAACTTAATACTTATGTAATTTGATTTAAACATGAATTTTTTATTCAACGATTAAATATATATGAAAGATTAGGCGTTATATTTATCAACTTTATTATTTTCAAATGCTAGTTTTTATAGATTTCAATAGTCAAATGGAACAAAAAAAAACTATTTTCCATGAACATGTTGTGTTGGTTGCGTTAAAAGTATAAAAAATTATGATATAAAAGTAACACTTAAGCTCATGTGAATTATTAACAAAAAATCAAGTTATAATCCCATTCGTAACTCAAAGAGTCCTTTTTTATACCTCTTAAACTTTTTTGTGATGTTGCTGTATATATTTCACGAAAGTTCGCATGTTGACAGCTTATACTTTTCATATTAATTCAGCGAAGTCTACTTGTTTCTACGCATTCCATTATTTATTTAACAGTTGTCTACAAAGTCTCAAAGCACGGTGTATTAAAGGCGCATATAGCTGTAGAATAATATTACCTTGTTCTTAAGGCTGTTTGTTTGATTTACTCTCAGTGATATTTTTATTCGGCAGTTTGCCTTTAAACGAGTTTAACCTAAGGGTCAACGAGAGTGATTGGTAACGAATGTCTATTTTATCGCGAATAGCAGTTTCGTTCGAGCATTGATTTGTGACCGAATAAGTATCAGTTCGTTGTGAGTAGGGAGGAAATGACTAAATCGTAAAATGTTCTTATGAGTGTAGAGAGATACAGTTTCTTTGGTGACGCCACGCTGTAGGACCTCGTGTCTAGTCTTTTAGGCGCCCGCGGCGGGGCAAGTGGCAGAACGTGGGTGACTGGTGAGCGAATAGTATAGGAGGACAGAGGAGGGAAGGGAAAAAATAAAAAGTAAAATATATATAGATGCGAATGTATGTATCTCTGTGCGTATGCGAAAGCTGCAACAATAATAAAACTGGGGATGTTATGCGGACCCCGAGGGCGGCCGGAGGAGATTAATCGGTGTTGGCATCACTAACCGTCTCGATGGCGCCGCCGCACGCATAATATTTGTGAATTCTCATCATCCTCCTCTTGGATTATTCGTAATGGAAGTCAATCGGAAACAAGTGGTACATTTTCTCATGGTTTACTTAAAAGGATTTCAATGGAAAATGTTTAATTCGTCATAACTCCGTCATTCTGACACGTAGTTCCTTAATAATATTTCCCAACACACTATTCAACACAACTCATTTTTTACAAATGAAAAAGTTAAAACAATCGTTGAGTTGTAGATATGCGTAATGGTCACGCGATAAACGAGGCTCAGAGAATACACATTATCCAAACGATAGCCATTCGGCTCGTCACAAGAGAATAATAAACACAATAAAAATAATTAATTGATCAATTGTCTGTTTCTTATGCGCTTGTTTAAAAATGTATTTTTTTTTTTTCAGGGGTTCATGCTAGTTGGGACGAGTGGTGGACGTATGATGGAATATCGGGTAATGTGTTTTCCTTTATATCATTGTAGTTTTAAAAACGTTACGATGGAAAAATAACTACAATTGTTGCTACCGTCGTTCTAAAATCAATTTAACTTAATAGTATACAAATTCACTTGTTAATATTTACTCTTGCGGATATTAAAAATTAATAACTTTTTAATTAAGTTAAAAAAATGATTACAAATGAAGTAATTTTCTACAATTCTAAGATATTGTACACAGTGTGATGGAATTTAATTGTATGGTTTTTTTTTTGAAAAACCAAACCCGACATTTTGAATGATATAAAATAACCTGGCAAATTTTTAATGTACCTTATAGTCAAAATGTGTATGGATATATATTTAGAATAGTAGATTGGTATAATTACAGTTGGGCTTCGCTAGTTATTTACATTTAACGTTTTTGTAGAAACGTAAATAAAATATAAAACATTAAAAATTTTATTTATAGATTTTCTAGAAATGTAATTTTCTTAAAAAATAATATTATCATCTAGAAGTTCAAATAATGACAGGTTTGTCGACACGCGACAACCGTATAAAGTTTAAAACATAATAAAATATACAAATGGGTATACGATTTCCGAATATGGTAAACTTGCGTCGCCTACGGTTCTTAATGGAGCGGTTTGTATGAATATTGAATTATAAACATAAAAGTATGTTACTCAAACAACTGTCGTAAAAATTTCGGAGTGCTATTAAACATCAGCTGCGTAATGTGTATAACAAGTAACAACACATTAATGGAGTCGAGTTTGTGTGTATATTTATTAAAGACATTTAAAGTTTGCTGACTTAAATGCCGTATCCAATTACTGTGTTGTACAACATAATAATGTTATACACTTCAAAGTGATTCCCTCGCTACGACCATTCCTGTCGTTTTCCTTGGAAAATATAAACTTTGACAACCCGTCTCAATAATATGTTTTTCAAATATTCGAATTTTGTCAAACCTTCAAAATGGTTTAAATGTTCACTTATACAACGTTGGACGTTTTTTTTTTTAGTATGAAAAATATTTTACATTTAAAATTGATCAACTTATGATTGGATCTACTAAGTGGTAGGGAAGCAATCTTTTTCGTAGATCGTAAATTAGTGTTTCAATACTAATTGTTGTGTGAAAAAATCCAATATTTTGTTTTATTCTAAATTGAAGTTTCCCACCACGTAAATGCAAGAGGATTCACGTCTGTATCGACAAAATTCAAACTTACAATAATTTTGAATCTTAAATTTCAGTGGCCATACCTATAATTGTACGATCTTGATTCAGATAATAAATCCTCCTTTAGTTAAAATTTGTTCATCCACGAATCATAAAACTGAGAAATATAATTGACACGTTTCCTTTTTACAGCTTAATAAGTATTGTTATAAAGAAGTCGGTATGCGGACACCCCCAGGGAAGTATATTATTATATTTCTCTTTTTATTTGGCAACAGAGTAAAGTGTTAAACGCATTTATATTTTATGTGTAATATACAGATATATGTATTGTATCTAAGCAGTATGGCGTTTCAACGAGATCATGAAATCTAAAGAGACTTAATGTTTGTTCTATAGTCGCTTCTTAACATCGAACGATATTGGGGTTTTATATTGTCGAACCTTAAACGCGTCGTGGAAGTGCTTGGTAAAAGAAAGAGCGTAAAACCACTGCCTTATTATTTTATTAGTTTAAGAAATTTAAAAGGAAAATATAATTAGAAATAAATGTACGTGACTTGATATTTTGTATTTTTTACTTTTAACCATAAAACTTTTTGTGGAAATAAAATACTATAGTTTGACCAAAAAGCTATTATAAATTAACTTATAATATGGCGACACTAAGAGTTATGTCATGATTTATCTTCGACGCTAAAACTCAAAAAAAACTAACAATTTATTCATGTTTTGAGGACGAAGCCAAATAAATTAAATACAAAAAACGTAAAAGAAAATGAATATTTTATTATAATGGGGCGTTTATTAATAAATAAAAACCAAATATTCCAAACAAGACTCGAAGCTCATAAGCTATAACGGTCTTAAAATTTATGTTGGAAAAATCAAATTAAATATGATATTTTTAAAAAATATCTATTTTATTTAAAATAAAAAATTTGGTAGACTAGGTTTGGCAATCTATCACATTTGAAAACATATTTTTTATTCTCGTTTATTAATCTAATTCGGAAATATTTTATTTAATGAATACAACGCTTTCATTTATAGTTTTACTTAGTCTATTGTTTGCATATAAGTTTCTGGTCACGATGTTTTGAAATAGAATTCTATTGTTTTGATTAAATACACAAAAATAGCGACGTACCGCTCTTTAAATACACCAGTTCTTGAATACACAATTTTAAAATTCTGCTCAGAATGTGCCAAAATGTGATTTTTTCACACGTCTTTGTAATTGTTGACGACCATGTGTACTTGACGCGTTTTATAACCCAAGTACAAGACTTGCACGCTTTATCAGTGAAATAGTTTAAAAAGATTTTATTGAGATAAGTTTGCCAAACAATAGTTTAAAGGGAAAACAATGAGCTCAATGTTTTTATATCCAATTTCTATGACAGTGGCAGCGATGGATTACACTCCAGTAATATTTTTCATTTATATCGTTTTTCACATGAGTGTAAATAGTATTGTCGGTTAAAAGGATTACCCAAACGAATCAATACTTAGTAAGTAAAATGGAAGACACATAAAAGAGTTCAAGATAATTGATAGAAAATATATTTAATTACTTTTAACATTTGCTCCAGCGTTCTGATACTTGATTTCTGATACTCTATTTCATTTATATATATATGAATTTTAAAACTTTTTATCAAAACAATTGATAAATATTATCTATTTACATAAAAAAACTAAAAATATACCTACAATAAAAATATATTCAACATTTAAGAATCGAAAAATTGAAAATCCGCTTACGCTTTCAATCACGAATAAGAAAAATAGAATACAATCCAAAGTCAACACAAGCGTTTTATAGATCTTTGAAATTATAAACAAACACCCAAGTTGTTATTGTATATTTGCTTCGGAGAAAAAAGGCAAAAATGTTGTAAACGCATTCCGGTCACACATCAAGACCTTGTTTACTATTGTGATTTTACTCTCTCTGGTAATATGCCGTTGGGGGTCGGAAGGTTCTGACAAATAATATAATATCCATAACGATTCAAAATAACATCTGTCACGTGTGAAAGTTCTGATAAGATTTTTATTATAACAACAAGTGGTAAAATTTTGAATAAAATCATTCAAATTTATTTTACATTGAACAATAAATGAGATTAAAAGATAAAGAACGATAAATCTTTATACTGAGATTTATATTAAAAGTTTTTATAGTGAGTACTTAGTACATACAATATTGATTGTTTTTATGATTAAATAATTCAAAATATTATAAACGTTCGCTGTGCGAAAGATGTTAATTATGTTTTCATTTAGTGAATAACAATTTTTTCAATTATGCAAATATATAACGACTGATAGACTAATACGACGTATCAAAAATAAACTGATATTTCAAAAATAATTTCAGAATTGTCTGACCGCAGGAAAATATAACAAGAAGAATTTTTATTTTTTATAGTCGAAGGTGTCATATAATCCATAAATTCATTGGCTTTGGTCGACATTAAACAGAAAAAAAACTGTTTTACCCTTCCGGCAAATATGTGGTACTTGAGATACGAACCAAGTGTGTAACCATAATTTGTCTAGCCATTGCTGAACAATTTATGATTTCGGATTTGTCAATACAGCAAAACACCGCGTTCTTCTCTATTATCCCCACGCGGACAACGGTCCAGTTAAAACGGTTTTTATCGTCACCCATAAATGTCCCCAACGTTATGCCAAAAGTTATGACTTATTTTTATTTATTATTTAACGACATAATAATAATAATGTATAGACTTGAAACATCAATGAGACTTCTAGTGGATTCATTTTTCCTTTATTTTCTGGCAAATAGAACTGTTTTACAAATAAAATAGGTACATTAAAAAAATGTATTTTCTATTTTACAAACGTCACTAGAAAAAAATGTATAAAATCAATACTTGTAAAAATCGGGCTGTAAATAACATATCAATATTTCGTCATTTAAACAACGATTGAAACTGGAAAAAAATATTATAAAATTATTAAAGATAAAATATAATAAAAATAATATACTTATCTAATATAAAAAAAATTTATTTGATTTCTTTATGGTTCTTTGAATAATGCGCTGTAATATTATTTTGTTGTATAAAATTTAAACTCGATTTTTACGGATATAATAAATGTGGATTTTTTATATTTTTAACTTATAAACTTTATAGTTAAGTCAATATATTTTTAAATCGCTATTATATTTAACTTAAAAGCTTATAAAAATGAATTATTCTTTTCGAATTTTGAATTTTTTTTTATTGAGATTGTTGATTTCTATTGAAATGATACAAGAATTTTGTTAGCTGTATTTAACGCAAAAATCAACTACTCTCACGAATCAAGTGTACTAGTACAATAATGAGAAGATAGTCTTACATTAGAACTTCTTAAACAGATTTGCTCTAATTTTATGATGGATGAAACGTCGTATTTTGCCCAAAAGCAGTTTTGGATTTTAATGAAGTTTCATTTTCTAATTTTACCCCGTTAAATTAAATAAGAGATGAACTTAATCACTTTAAGACGAGCTTTAAATTTACTTTTAAACTCCTACATTGTTTGTGTATACATGAAAACTTTCTCTGGAGTGACCAATTAAAAGACGGTTATAAGCTATGAGATAGACAAAAGTAATTTACTCGATTATGTCAATAAAAACTCAATTAAACTTTACTGTAAACACATACGAAAAAACGTTTCATGAAGGTACGTATTTTGAAAAATTAGACAGTAAAAAGGTATTTATTTTCGTGAAACTTTTCATAAATATGAGTTTACGATGTCTCAGTATAAGATCGTAAATCGTTTATGCAATTTTCGTTACCATTTTAAGTGAAAATATTTACCATTCGCAAAAATAGTTGAACTTTTTATTTGTCCAGTAGAATATATATTTTTTAATATCATGGTACAATAATTATATTTAACGCAAAAATTGTTTTATGAGTTTTCCTATATTAGACAAGATTATTAATAACTGCCGCATGTCATATTATTGTCCTCCTCCAAAAGTCATTACAAATAATGTATTGGTCATTATTAGTTGGTTATACACAAAAACTGATTGTGCGCAAAGCCTTTTGTACCCGTTTTTTTGGTCAGAGAATAGGGCGATTTTACAACCTGTGTAAATACACTCATTGTTTCCGCGGTTAAAGCAAACGGAATTTATTATTCCCTTTTTATACGCGTTTCGCCATCGATGGAACTAATAAATTATTATTATATTGTAAGCCGGTCGTTATTATGATCGAAAATGTTATTCACAGATCATTAACCGCGTAAATCGTTAGGGCCGTATTTTACGTGAATAAACCGACAGGTGTTTATTGAAAATTAGATTATCATTTGCGGTAAAACAAAATAATATCAATTTATTTTCATGAGCAGTATGGCGTTTTTCTTTCAAAAAAAAATTCTGATTATTTCTATAATTAACTCAAGAAAAATATTCGGTCACCTTTTTAAGCGCATATTATTTAATTGGAATGTTTTTCGAGGAACAATTTCAAGTTTTGTGCGTATAAAATAATAAAATGCTCTTGAATAAATAATGCGGTCAAGTTTTGATTTAAATGACGTTGTAAACAATAACATTACGCCTACACGATAGTTTAATCGCGACCTTAGAACAATAAGGAATCGAGATAGCTTTTAAATACTTTCAAGTTTATTATGGTTGTAAAAGTTAAATAAAGGCAAAAATGACTAATAGACATTTGTGAACGTGTGTATGATAGCGTGGCGTTATTAAGTAGAAAAGTGAAGCGGCCAAACACCGCAGCCATTATAATATGTATCGTAACAATGTGGGTCGTATAATATAATATTATATTGCTTTACTGTCGTTCGAATAACTTGTATATATTAAATTGCAATCCAGCGATAATATCGTGTGCGTGTTGGGTTGCGTCCGATAATTTATTACGACTAATTATAATTGACTGCAATATGAACTACAACGAAATACCCTTAAATGAATACGATACCGATTTCGAGTCCATTAAATTAATGCTCAAGGTCTGATGAAACTTGGTCGGTCAAACTTTTAATCGCAATTGTTTTTCTAAACATTATATTCTGTCAGCGTGTGACAGACGAGTCCACGCGATATTTATTCGGAATCAATTAATTTTTATTTTATTATTGTGATTGAGAAACTTTCATGTATTTATCAATCTCAATACCCCAACAACTTTTATGTCATTCGCCTGTACTAAAACTCATTATAAACTTAGTATCATAAACTTTTACTATTTTTAAAAGTTGTGCAGCAACCTGAAAATATTGTCCGGTTATTAAATTTTAGTTGTGTATTGTACATGTTTATCGAACAACTTTTAGCGGCCCATACTTATTTCTATATTATGATTTGTTATACTTTGAGTCGAGTTTACATGGATTGTGGAAAAATAAATTCATTCTTTGGTTGATCTATGAACACACATTACTGATATTAATAATAAAATGTAGGGAAAAGTATAACTCTCTCTCATTTTCTTTTTTAAATAAATCTATATTATTAAATAAAAAATTTAATAAATTTGAGCGAAAAGCGAGGGATTTCGATGTAGTAATGAAATATTTCCAAAAAAAACTCATAGAGAATTGTAAGTGTTATCTAATAAAATGTTAACATGTTAGGAATATATAAATAATTTACATAAAATAATTTTTTATTTAAATTATTATATCATATTTATTCATGTAGAAATCGACCTTAGGTTTAACCAAATGTTAATTAATTACTAATGATTTTATTTATTTGATTTAAATTCAGTTCTTTTTTTTTTTAAGAGTTGTATAGAATTTAAGCTACAAAAAAATATTTTATAAAATGTAATACGTAAAATATCAATATACATTTCCACAATATGTAAGTCTACTCCACATTATCGAAAAGAAAACAATAATGCTGTATTATAAAAAGAGCAATACTTTTTTTTTATAAACAATAATAATATTTTACTTACTGAGCAGCAGAATTTAATAACGTGAATTCGGTTCATAACGAGCAATGGCAGAAAACGACGTATAATACCATTTAGCCGCCCGGTTGAAAATAAAAACAAATCTCCACCGCATAAATGTTTTATGTTGACGCGTCCTTAATGTGCTTATTTATTTATATTTTTCAGTGAAACCTAGTGGGCTCGAGTTTATTGTTTAGGCTACCGGGAAAAGCAGGTATAATTTATTCAATACAACCCAATTAATGAAATATCCTATACGCTCTTTGATGATCATGGAAGTTTTTGAATCTAGTACATTTATAGTTCATTTTCTTTAGATTTACCTATTCGTTCTTATTGATCATAATGAATACAAGGGGTTGATTACTATCATATTGTAGATGGCTTGACGAAAAGTTTTTCATTATACAGAATGTTCAAAAAGTAAGAAAACACGTTAATTGTTACAATGAGAACAATAGAAACCCTATTCCTTACTTACTGAACATCTTATATATTGTCGTTAATGTAAAATTTGTTAAAAAAAACATTACCTATCCACAAAACACTTTTGTCTCCATAAATTGAGCTTTGGATGTTTTGAATTGATTTAGAATCACACGACAGAGATTCCAAAGAATCTTTGGATTCCTGTCGTATAGATTTTTTAACTAGTAGTTTCTTTAAACGGTTCAAACCACACTGACATCCCAGAATTAACATAAAATACATTTTTTATTCTTAAATTATGAATACCCAAAACGAAACGTTTAGTTTTAATGTAGTTTCCATAAAAATCCAAGAAAACACTCGTTTTATAACCAAATAGCATTAAAGTGCAGCTCATGCAAGTTTAAAATTATATTATATTGTAATAGAACTCGTTGACATGTGCTACTTTGCGTGTGGATTATGACCCGTCGTTCACTTAAATGAGTGTCCTCGTCGTTTATAGACAATAACGCGATTTGCCTTTTACCATACGAATAAGTTTACTTGTCGGTGGAACTTTAAAACGGCCGTTAACCGCACCCGCTACATTCGGTGACGTTTCGCGGTCTTTTTACCGTCGTGTCCAGAACACGCGTATACACATATGACCGGTCTTTATTTAAATGATACTGTGTACAAAGCTCTTTTGTGCAGATGTTCGAAAAGTCTTCCGCCACGGACTCGGAGTATCCGTCGGATAAGGTTGACATGATAGCTGTAGGTAAACCTTTGAATACGGGGGAGCTACCCTTCGACTAAATGAACCAATTCAATTTCACGGTGCCAGGATTTCTCCTTCGAATGCATACGTCACTTACGACAAACAATTTCATATCGAAAATCCGATCCCGGAATTTTTACAATCCTCAGATTCCATTTATAAAACTTCTTTATTCTTCAAAGATGAATATAAAGAACACAAATGAATTATCTCTATATACGTTCTTCCTTAAAAATCAAGAGTGCACGTAGATAACTTTCGCTAAATTTAATCGAATGCAATACTATAACAAGCTTAATCATAAACTGACATTGAACCGCTCTCTTAAAAAAAATGCTCACATACATGTGTTGGAAGTTTTGAACGCATACAATATAAGGGAAAATTTGGACAAATGATGATAAACATTTTTTACGACTTTTCGCTACTTTATGTTAAATTTGCATTGCTCATGTGTAAAATTAACGTGTTATTAAAAATGTCATATTAACGTATGAGAACTTTTTAATCATTTTTTACAATGTGTTTATTTGTATATAGATAAGTAATCGATCACGCCTGATTAAAATCTTTTTTAATTGACTAAAAATGTTTAGAGAATGAATAATGCGATGTTGACGATCATTTTGCATATATCTGTAATAATTTAGAAATAATCAACTATCAAATTTATAATATATTGCTTTTTATCTAGGTCCAAAATATTGGGGAGTCTTGAATCCTCTGTGGAAATTATGCTCAATTGGGAAACGACAGTCTCCAATCGACATCGACCCAGACAAGTTGCTTTATGATCCATTCTTAAGAAATTTACATATTGACGTTGACAAAGTAAGTAGCCAGAAACTATGATGTTTTCATGTTTGAATTACTAAATACTAAAATATCATAAGGTAGCTTGAGTGCGAAGAAGATATTTTAAATAAACCATTTCATTATTGCAGTCCATGGAACCTTTTTTTTCTATTGCGTATATTTACCACGATTTTCTGATAATACTGAGGATTTGGTATAAGTTAGCAATGAAATATCTGTCTGAGACCTGGATTACCAAATCTATTACATTCATCTACATAACGTTTAATAATTTTTTTTCATGATCACAAAAGAATATGTAAGACTCAATATATTTGATATTGAAACTAGAAAATATTATGACGTTATACATGTCATTCGTAAAGTAGAGTAACTTCAGTCACCTTTGTAGCAAACAAAAAAAAAATGCATAAATTTTTAAGTGTTTTAAACTTTAATCGTATGAGCGTTCATTTAAACGTTCAGCACATCGAGTGATGCTTTATAATTATACTTTAATGCATATTTTTAACCATGAAGCTTTTATTTCATTACATTCAGACAAAATAATTTTAATTTCAAATTATTTTTTATCACATTGTATACATAGAAATATATTCAATTTATATACTAATTAACTTAAAATCTAAATCATAAAAAATACCTCTAAGCTTAAAAGATTTAATAAGACATATTTAACTTTTGTGATCATTTCGATACGCCCTAGTGTTTTTTAACCGACACGGAAAGTTACTCATTTACTTATGATTGCCAAATAACCAGTTTAATGAAATATATGTGATATCTTTACTGTTTTTTTATATTATTTTAAGGTGAGTGGAATCATAGAGAATACTGGCCAATCTTTAGTATTTAGAGTCGATAAAGATTCTAAGTATGTCTTAAATATAACTGATGGACCTCTGACGTATCGTTACCAATTTCAAGAGTTTTATATACACTACGGTACTGATAATAACCTTGGTTCTGAACATAAAATACAGGGATATTCTTTTCCTGCTGAAGTGAGTTTCATTTAAAAACTACATAATAGTATGTCAAGTTGAGTACCAAAAACAAATATTATAATTAAATTTTAGTTTAGTATGTCATAATTTAGAGTTAAATGTTTGTTGTTCTTATATGAAAATAAAATTCTAAGTGTTTTACATGTTCCTATAAAATTGTATATGTTAAATTCTTAAAAGTTTAACGAAATTGTATACTTGATAATTCTATTTAAATTTAGTTATTCAATGTTTTAACTAAATTTATGTAATTGACATGGTATTAAAAAAAAAATTAACAAAACTTTTAAAAGTTTAAAAAGTTAACAAACCACCCAAGAAATAGGTTAACTAATGTAATAGTGGTCGTTTGTTAACATCAGACTCAATTCTAGGCACTATTCAATTATTATTTTCTTTATAGATGGAAAAAGAAAAAAAGTGTTAAAAAAGTGTAAGGTTATTCAAATGTATTTTTTATATTTGAATTAAGCAAAGATTTACACTAGATTTAATTACAATTTTTTTTATTTGGTAATGCATCGTTAACTTTATTGAAATGTTCACAAAAGAATCTGTAACTTTTTCGTTATACTAAAATATTCTTATAACTGCATGAAGTATTTTTATTAATTATACAGAAAGTAATCGCGTGACGAAAAGGTCTGTCCCGGTAAGGTTAACGCTACGTAGAGTAACAATAAGAACGTACATTTACTACAAAACAACTTAGTTGTGGCGGGGAAGTTGTGGAACTACACGAATGTCTTGTGTTTGAATTGACTGAAATGGCTTTTATCCTACTTTTATAACCTCGTTATTTACTTATTAGGATATAAAAGTGATTGTATTTTAGATCTTCTTTTTTTGAAAGTTACCTAATTAATTAAATTTCATACATGGCAAGTTGCGAATCGATAAATGGCTAATGTTTTTATCAATCAGTTTAAACTCTTTGTTCAATTCATTCTGTCTTAATTTAAGTATAACCAACTTAGCTTTATATTTTAAAAATATTACATGATTTTGGGTTAATACTGATTCCATTAAATAATGTACGCAAATATGGGTATATTATGATTTAGTGTATAAGATCATATTATTTACAATTGCTTTTGTTAAACATACATAAGTGTTTCTATCGAATAAACTAAATATACGATTAGAATTGATATCTAATTAATTTTTAATTTGAGGTTTTATTGAATAAAATAGTCCCCATAAATTTATTATAACCTTTTGTTGTTTAAATATATCGACAAAATATATAGTCTTTTACTAACTGTTATAGAAACTTTTAAGGTACACAAAATTTGAATACATTAAAGTGCATAGTAATATGATATTAAATTTCAAGGTTTAATATAGTAGTGATTATTTTTGATAAAACGATGGAAGGGCTGAAATTGGTATAAATGTCATTGCAGGTTGTGAAACGCCCTACTAAAATAAATAACGGAAATTCGTTGAGCAGTAATAAATCCTATATATTTGATCACATCATATTAGTATTTTATTATAAGTTCTTTACTTTTACTGTTGCATTAGAATCGGAAACACCCATGAATTATTTGTTGATGTTAATATGTAACATCAAATTAAAAAAAAATATTAGGAATAGAAAAAGAATTAAAATAAGAAAATTACAAGCTTATTTTATTGCGGTTAATATCGAAAGTTGTCAGTACTTACACACAGTAAAAATAACATGATACAATTGCAGCCGTGCCGAGCAGCTGGAACACTTTCTCGAAAAATCGAGCTCACCATGTTTTACTGATGTATGATCACATATACAGCGTGTTCAAGAGGTAAGGAAACGAGTTTTTATTGTTCTTATGGTTTGTAACAATTTTTTCTGTTTCCTTACTTACTGAACACTTTGTATATTAGTATTTATAAATTCCTAATATTTTGCCGGAAAATACCAATGACGACCTAAAATAATAATTATTCAACTCGTTGCATAATACCTCATAAATTCCTAGTACGAAATTTCAATTTTTTAATTGTTAGTGATTTGCTACAGAAGCGTAGTTTGAATTTTTATTAGAGGATGGACTTTTACGCGAGTGTTTGTATAGTGATAGTGAGAAAAATAATCTTGTGTTTAAGATGCAATTTTAAAGGAGTAGTATGTTTTTTATGTTAACCGTCTTCAAGTAAACAAATCCTGAGCATTTCACTTTTTAAAATATATTTTTCAACACAAAAAATGTATAGTCACAAATTTTTCGAGAAACGCAAGTATTACTTATTTCACTTTTCGGGTAGTCCTGTGTTTATAGAGTGTGAGGATTTATCTTGTTTGTAGTTAATATAATATTTCTTATTACTTAATATTTACTATGTGTTACTGAAACATATACTACTCTTCCACCACAGCATATATATAATTCACATCTATGTTTGCTAAAGAAAAGATTTAAGTTCTTTAAGTGCTTTAAGAGAAGTTCTCGAAATACGGTATTTGAAAACAAAAAACATAAATTCTAGTTTTTAAAAGTCATAGGATAATATGTCAATAATATCATTTAAGTCATTATAATAAATAAGCAAACAATTCAATATTAAATTTCGTGTAACAAAATAATAATACCCATAACTGTTTTTAAGGAATAAATTTTAAATAATCGAGAACATATTTTAAGAATAATGGTAAAATATTTCTTGAAAATTATTATTATTAAATACAACTATAAATTTAAAAGTAATACATAATAACAGACATCTCATTATATGTCCGTCATTGTTACTGAAACAATATTGTTAGCTATGAATAAAATTATTATTAATATCAATAACTAGTGATAAAATGGAAAACAATATTCTTGTAAATGATGGTAATTTCAAAGTGTACTTGTTCGCTTTTTCCATCACATCTACTCGTTTTATGAATCCGCTTAAGAAAAGTAAAAACACTCTTGTCAGCGTTTAAAATAATATACAAACGAATTCTGTTTTTTTTTTTATTCACACTCCAGTCATTTTTTTACTCGACACAAACAAACGTTCTTATTTTTTGTCGACCGTTTCTGATGTGTTCCAGTTATAAAACATAATTTAAAAAGTTTTTTACAAATAAAAGCTGGTTTCATTAACATAGCACCGAACACGTACGAAAATTATTCATTGTTTAATCGCATTCAGTTCACCGAAAAATAACCATAAATTTATTTTAGGGCTGAGAAAGTAAATGATTTTTTGTTTTATTTCAAAATATGAATTTTAATTATTTTAAAAAGGATTTTTTCTTAATGATGATTTTTTACATGTTTTTAAATTAATTTAAAAAAAAGTCGATTTATTGAAGTATTTTATATGCTATTAAAAAAAATGTTTTATATGATTTAAACAAAACGATGTTAGATTAATTTAGATCAATGGTTTATTTAAATAAAATTAGATCACACGTTTAAATATTTACACTTAAACAATTTGAAAAATATACCGAGTAATCTCTTGTATAGTATTAAACGATAACTGATTGTAATATTGCAATACAAATAGTTTTATAAGTGAATAACTTTGTTTAGCTCTTAACGTAGTAGATAAAAAAATAATATGATTATTTGTTAATTCTAAAGTATATAAATAATTTTATTTATTTTAATTATACATAATTTTTATTATTATTTGTAGCCATTATAGTTATGTCATTTTTTCACTACATTTATTATGTGTTGTGGCATTTTTTATTTTTTATAAAGCGCGAACGCTTGTGGTAAACTATCTTTTTCTAATAATTTATTTTTCTTTTTTTAATTTTTAATTTTCTTTTAAGTAGAAAATTTTGGGTTATACATCTTGTGACGTTGTTGACGATATTAATCGATAGTTTTATTTTCGTTAATTAATTCAGATTCTTGATAAATCACTTGGAATCACTCTATCACTGTCAGAATTGGCTTATCATAGTACTTAGAGTTATCAAGTTGCCTCTCGTTCCTTTATTTATTTTTTATACCGGTTAAATTGATTTCTTTTATTATCATTAAAAATGGAAGCAGTAAAGAATTACTTGGACTGTATGAATCCAAAGAGCCATTAAAGATGTTTTATGTATTATAAAAGCGTGCCATTAGTGATAAATATATTTTAATAGAAATTCACTTTAATGCAATATAAACAGGAATATAAATTCAATTAAATGAAATGACACATTTCTAAACATAAAAGGTAACAACGTTACTTTTTGACTAGTTTTTAACAGTTTTAAATGAGTTTGAATAATATACAATTCTTAGTATCTTACTATTTTACTATTTTAACTTTCATTTAGGACAGGCAAAACATAAATCAAATTTGGAATAGAATAAAATAATAAATATTTTCAAGATAAGTATTGAAGTAATTCTCTTCTTTAAAAATATTTTTATAAAAAATTTATACTGTTAGATGATACAACTTGAGACAGTTTATTATTGTTATTTTACAAATTTAATCACTTAATTTGTATTAACAAATAATTAGTATTGCTTAATAATAATAATTGTCAACATTTTACGTGTGCTGTAGATTAATACCACTAAAACGATAATAGATATTTAACTGCCCCAAGTTGGCCCATTTGACATTAAATAAATAAATTGTTAAACTCTTTCATATTAAATGTATTTATAATAAATAAATATTTACCATATAATATTAAATACTATGTCATGAGTATAATAAATTGTATTTTATAGTTTTTAATATTATAAAAAAAGCCTAGAAATAGTTAGAGATAATTTTTTTTGCAGAAGAAATAATTAAAAATTAATTACGTTTTATGATTTCAAAAGAGACTTCAACAGAACTACAGTGAGTCAAGTAATTATTTGGACATCGTCTAGAAATAATAAGTTGCCTCATAAATCATCATTGTCTTACAGGCCTTAAGTATGATTAACACCATTAGAAAAATGTTTGAATGAGTGATTAAACCACTTGGTGCAACTTGTCGCAACCAAATTAATTATTATTGCCAAGAGGACTAGTTTAACTAATAGAAAACACATATTTCAAACCACATCTAACCTCTGGTTTTTTTTTCGTGTCCTATTATAATCCAAAGCAGTTTTTAATATTTACATTTACGTTAACTTTACATTTTATTAGCAATAGTTAAGTTAAACTACAAAATTTTAAGATTTACATGTCTTCTACAAATTCATTCGTCATTTTGAATAAAAAATAGATTATACAAATTCCCTTTTGACAAATTAAAAGCAGACAATTTTATAAAGTAAATAAAAAAAAATTCCCAATAGTATTATTATGTTTTTATTAATTAAGTAATTCATAATAAATAAATCACTCTCTATGTTCTTATATACAAAGTAAACTATCGTTTTTTCATATATGATTTTCAATAAATTTTCATTTACACTAGCAACATTAACCAACAATAATTCATAACTAATGAGTATATTCTTGTTGTGTGTCTTCGACTGGACTCGTATGAAAAAACTATCATCAAATTATGAACATCAGTATAAATTATGGGTTTTTTTACAAATTATAATAAACGAGTAGTTATAACAATTGTCAGAAAAAAATAAAATGGTCGTACTGCGTAATACATCTATTAAATATTTTTCAAAGCATCTATGTAGCTATTTTACAAAAATATTACGCATTTAAAAACTTAAAATTCTTAATTTTTAAATTATTGGAGTAAATTTACTTTACTTATTTAAGGGTTTATAATGCTTTTTTTGAACTTTTTAAGATTTAAGAGTTATACTATTCTTCATTTAGTATTTTCAAATATTTTTTGATGTAATGTACTATTCATAAACACAAACTTTAGAATACCCTCAGTGCATATTCAATTTCTTTTAACGTTTAATATATTTTATTATTGATCTTGAGTCATTTAAGTTAAAAGCTATTACTTAAAAAATTGTTATACACAATGAATAAAATCTTTTTAATTGCTTTATTAGTTCGTGTACGAAAAAGTAAGATAATAAAGTGTTCTACTTCATTACCAACATTACTTATTTCATAATACTTCTTTTGTAAGAAATTAAATTAAACATAAAGCTATTTTTGAGTCTCAGTTTGTTTGTATAATACTTTTAGTAGATACCAATAAACATTAAGCTCAATATAAACATAGAACAATGAAAAAAATAATTTTTTTTAATTAAGAAAATTTGAAAAGAAGTAAGACATAAAAAAATCATTATGTTTATAATAGCCTGTGGCAGAATGCATAAGCACAAATAATGAATAGAGATGTGCCTAAAATGACATATATCAGTTTTTTTTATAAAATCAAAGATAATTATGAGCCTAATAATTATTATACGTAAAGTTTTAATTTATTTTTATTTTTGGCACTTGGATTACTTAGCCATCATTATCGGGTATAACTTAAAAAAAAAAAGTATTAAAAACACTTTCAAAATTTGCTATCAATATTATTAATTAATTAATCGTATAATCAAGAATAAATTAATAATCTTGTAATATTCAAATATTTATTTAAAATTTAAAATAACATTTTTTTGGACGTTTTCTCATCGAGTCAAATTAAAAAAAATATTTGTCTGAGTTTTTATTAATAATTTTGGTATTTATTAAGATTTTTAAATTCTATTATATGGCTATATTCCATAGTAGTCTAAGAATTGAAGAATAAAATAAATAAATTGCCGATAATAATAATAATAATAGTATATCTGAGAATTAGATTCATTTCAAATAGTCAAATGTTGGTAGGTTGTTTATGCTTTCGTCCTCCACCGATCACCACATGTCCCGTGTCTCGCTTCCCCTCTAACCACTTGCATGCTGTCAAAAGGCCATAATCCACTGGGTTTCGATTTCAATCTTGAAATGGAGATGAGCGTACTGTAAAACCCATAAGATGAATCGAATGCTTTTTAAGAAAATAATCCCTGAGGAGTAAATGTGTGCGTGTGTACGATCAGTTTGGGTTGAATGACGAAGGGGTAACAAGGGAAAAAACCACATGAAATCCGTACGGTTATTTTACAAACCGGCACTTGAATAGGAAAAAGTAAAACGCGGTATTCATTGGTAAAAACGCGATTCTATCATTAAATAAGAGGAGTAGAATTTTTCTACGCACTTCAAATTTATTGTATTTTATGTAACATTAAAGTGATCGGGTAGTATTTAACTAGGATGTTAGCCTTTTTTATTTGCATTACTTAACATTGTGTCAATATCTATATTATATTTAAATAGTAATAAAACGTAAATCATAATAGTAATAGCATCTAATAGTTTTTAATTAAAAATTAAAGAAAAGCTATCCATTATTAATTATCATATGACGCTTTTATCTTATTATCGTATTTTAGTTATGATGGGAATTAAGGAAGTATTAATTTTTTATGTTTATCACTATATATATCCGGATCTCATTACAGTAATTTCACTCCAATATTTGAAACTAAAAATATGAGTTTTATTTTATTGATAATATTATCCTTAAAATTTGTTAAGATATTTCAAAATTTTTTAGAAAACCTGTCTTTAGATAACTTAATGTTAAAAAAAAAAAGTTTAGACGACTTGTCTACAATGAAACAATTTATAGTAAATACATGCTTTTTACATTAATTATATAGAGCTCAGATTTCACTAATAAAAATAAAAATAATACACTTTTTTACTCATAATTTCTTAAAACTCAATTATTTTGAAAATGAAAAATATGAAAAAATTTTATGGCTTTATAAAATACTTAATAGTTTGATTTTTGAAAATTCATGTTAATTTGTAATTATTTTGTGAATTATTATTATATAATTCTATAAAGTTCTACAAAAGCAAATGTAATAAGTGATGTAACAATGATGACATTTAATGTGAAGTGAATAACATTTTTTTTTCTTTGTAGATTCAGCTTTATGGTTACAATACAGATCTTTACTCAAATATGTCAGAAGCACAAATGAAATCGCAAGGAATCGTTGGGGTGTCACTTATGGTTCAGGTTCGTTTAAAATGTTTTTAGGTTATAAGTTTTTAAGTCACGAAGCAAACAATTAATTTATTATTAATACTTTTTGTATTCTTCTTTAATTCACAGATTGGTGAAACGCCTAACCCAGAATTCCGAATAGTCACTAATGAGTTCGGAAAACTCTTATATAAAGGTAAATGAAAATATAACTATTAAACTTGCACGTAAATTTTAATTACATATTATTACAAAATTAGTTATTTTTGTATGAAATATAAGTATAGTATTGGAAAGAATTCGATTTTTTTTTTTGTTGTTTAAATTTAATTGATTTAGGTCGATAAAAATCTTAGGATAAGTACTTATGGAGTAATAAGCATTTAATACATCGAGTCAGTAGCGCAGGCGGAGGGCACATATACCTGTTTGAATTGTAGCTACTCGCACTTCAAACTAACCCGATGTATTAAATGCTTTTAACTCCAGAAGTACTTATTTAAACAATGTAAAAAAATACTAAAAATAGCTACTTTGAAATTTCGAAAAAGTTAAAAAATATATTTAAATGTTTTTCTTATAAGATACAAATAATAAAAAATATGCTTTTGACGTTGTCCAAAACTCTAAATATGATTTATAAAACTGTTTGCTGGTTCAAAGTTATTGAAGTTGTCTCTATAGCTTTATATTTTGCTATCAACAATTAATAGATAAGATAAATAACGTGAATAACGATGTCATACGTAGCATTCATAAAAGCCACTATTAGAACAAAATAATATTATATTTTATTAAAATTTACTTAAATAACATGAGACAAAATTAATAAATATTGCAGATACTGAATTCATAATTGTGTAGTAAATCATAATATTCGTTTAACTCGATGCTATTCATGCGTGGAAAATTAACATGGCGGGACTAGACAGGTTGCAATCAATGATATGTGCTCCCATCGTTTAGGTACCGACACGTATCAATTTATATTTTAATAACAATAACCAATGCGTTTGTACGCAGACAATTTATGTACGTCGATTATCAAATGTCATACAACAACGAAGTATAGGTTATACGCTACTGCCAGTAGTAATTTCTGATTTTGATAAGTCGTACTCATCAAAAAATGTTTCAAAAGTATAATAGTTACTCAGCTAAAATGTTTAAAACTTCTAGAAGTTTTATGTGTTGAAATCTAAAAGCCGAAAATGAATATTTAAAAGTAGTTTGTAAAACCCACAGTAGACTATAATTTATTTGCAACTACAAAAAACATCGATTTCCCCTTTTGCTTTTCTTGGAGGAAATCTATCTAAAATTAAAAAATTTAATAAAGTCTATGGTCCTATGAAGTGTGTCTTAGTATACTTTACATATATTCTAGGGATTTGACGTTTAATTTTACTTGCACAAATCTGGTTTGTGCAAATATTTCAACGTGTAAACTGATATTTAAATAAAAATTTTATTTTTACAAGTATTTTGAGTGAATTCCGAGATTGTTCGAAAAAAACTGTTGCTGGCATAAATTAAAACGTTATTAAATGTGTAAATGATTATTTGAGGTTTGTATAAGTATTTTGGATCGAATACACAAAACTGCTAAATTTTTTAACACTTTATCACTTCGAAAGTTTAGTCTTGATGGATTAATTCATAGCTGATATCATTAAATGACTAAATTGTAATAAAAACAAATCATTATATAAAAACATGAATGTATAGACACATATTTGATTGATTCCTAATTTGCGAAAATATAATATGTGAAATGTACTAAGATACACTTTGCTGAACTATAGAATTTCTTAATTTTTTTATTTCATGTCAATATCCTCCAAGAATTTGGATTTTAATAAAATATAATTATGTTCATGAATTGATGTTATGCACAAAAATGTAAAATTCAGAACCCTTAAGTGTCTTTTAAGGGCATTATAAATATTATAACTCAATTAGTCATTAAATAATACACTGATTAATATATCTTACAATCATACATGAATATAAATATCGTCAATTTTGAATTTAGTGACTTAAAAAAAATACTTTGATATAGAACATTAACATTTTACTAATATCCAAAAGTCACTCCACTTTTTGGCCTCTGTAACGAAAATAAAAATATTTATCTATTATAAAATTTTGCCACAAAAAACATATATTATATATATAATTAACATTTTACTGAAATAAATAGTTACCCTCCTTTGGGGCCGTTTTTCTCAGAAATTGAAAAACTAATGCTAAATTTGTGTTTCATTGATGATATAATATGGTCAATTCTCTTCTTTAATGTCAAAATTCTAGTTGATATTATTTTTGTTTAGTTATAATCACTTTTCCTCCCATTATGCTTTGGTTAATAAAACTAAATTTAAGTTTGTTCTCATTTTAGATTTATTATTAAAGGATTTATATATCAAGTGTTCAATAATTAACTTAATGGTTAAATATTATAATTTAAAAATATCCAAATTTTATATATTTATTACTATTTTGTTTATAATAAGAATGTCACGCTCTCTAAATGTTCGAAAAATAAAGATAATTTTTATACGTAAATAATATAATAAATAAATAAATATTCCTATGAATTTTTATAAATAAATGCCATCAAATAAATTAAATTTAACCATTGAAAAATGGTTAGTTATAAGTAAAAATTTATAAAAAATATATCCTTCTCTTGAAAATTGGTTAAATATTAAGCAGTAATGCCGATTTTTGTATACATATGAGGTGTGTTCAGAAAATAACGGAAATTTTTAAATTTCGCGGGTTTGTAGAGTCTGATATCAAATTTTTTTTTTCATAATGTTGGTACACATGTTCCGGAAGTATGATAAAATTTTCAGCTAAATTCATTTTTTACTTTGTCAGTGGCAACCGTCAAGGTTAGACTTGTTTTTATAACCTCGGCGATTTTTGTTTGTTAAAAAAAAGGATCGAAGGATTTGTATCAAACTTTACATAAAAAATGAAATAAAGTGTCTGAAATGTTAACATAGGACTATGGTGAGTATGCTATGTGTAAGATTTACGTGTGGTATAAGCGTTTCCAAGATGGGCTGAAGACGTTGAATATGATGAACGCCTTAGCACAACCGATGAAAACATGGAAAATGTGAAAGAAATGGTTATGAACGATAGCCGAATTACAATCAGAGAAGTTGATGATAATGTTGGAACATCAATTGGTTTATGCTATGAAATTTTTTCGAATGTTTTTGGTATAAAAAGCGTAACAGCAAAATTTGTTTTAAAATTCTTGAGTTTTGAACAAAAACAGCGACGAATGGAAGTTATTCAGGAAGCACTTAATGAAGTCAACAACGATGCAGAATTACTGAAACGTGTTATAACAGGTGACGAACACATGAGTTTATTGACACGATGTCGAAACTAAGGCTCAATCGTCCCAGTGGAGGCATTCTGGATCGCCAAGACCGAAAAAGGCTCGAAAAATGCGATTGAACGTGAAGGTTATGCTCACTGTGTTCTTCGATTATAATGGCATAGTGCATCATAAATTCTTGTCACGAGGTCAAACAGTCAATAAGGAGTACTACCTACAAGTTCAACGCTGTTTGCGTGAAGCAATCAGAAAAAAATGCCCTGATTTGTGGCAAAACAATTTATGGCTTTTGCACCACGAAAATGCACCTGCTCACACTTCATTGCTTGTTTTAGAATTTTTGGCTAAAAACAATACTGTAACGATGCCTCAACCTCCGTATGACTTATTTTTATTCCCAAAAACAAAGAAAAAACCTAAAAAGGGCCGTCTTTTTACAAGCATATATGGCATTAAATGCACTCATTCAGCGATGTGCTGAATGAACTGAAGGCTATTCCAAAGATCAAGTTTGAGAAGTGTTTCTAGTATTGAAAGAATTGTTAGCACAAGTGCTAAATATCTAGTGGGGACTTTTTTGAAGACAGCAACATTAATGTAGACGAATAAATAAATATTTTTTTCAAAAAACGACAATTCCCGTTATTTTCTGAACACATCTCGTATATTGCAGTTACTATACATATAAAAGATGGATGTATAGAAAGATATGCTTATCCAAGTGAATGTCCGTATTTTCATAAAAAAAAATACTAAATAATAAGTAATGAACAAAAAAAGGTAATAAAAATTTGAATGTGGGGTTTATTATGTAATATATACAAAATGAACATAAAGTGATTTTATAATTCGTACTCCTTGTCAAAGAAATCCTGAAAAATGTCCTCTGATTTTTTTTCAGAAATCTATCACAATAAGCCCTAGAAGTCTTTTCTATTTTGATAAAAATATAAGTTAATGTTTAAAATTTTGAAAATCATCCTGAAGACATTAATAATTTTAAATATTAAATATAAATTCAACTGAAAAGTTAATGCGAGTTATAATATTAATAAATTATTTTTGCTACAGCCATTCTGAACTTAGCTTTTTTATAAGCCTACAAAAAATAATAAAAGATTTCAAATTTGAATGTCAAACGATTCCTGTTCACTTGAAAATGTATCGACATAATAAAAGGTTTTCTGGCGGCTGTTACAAAATTAATGACGCGCCGATAATGAAGGCATGAATAAATTGAAAACCCATTTCAAGTAGACTGCCTAAAGTAGAAACACGAATTATTTGGTCATTTACCAGACCGGGACATTTTGAACAATTAAATACTTGTTTTATTCCTAAAAAAGTATGAAATCATTAAAATTAATAATACGTTAAAAATGTTATTCATTGTCGAACTAACACAAAAATATCCACGATTACAACCTGAAATTATTTATTCATAATTAAGTTAGTCTTTGAAGTCTATGAGTATTATTAGTAACAGTTTCATTTGTTGAAAAGCTTCTTTTTATTGAATTAAGTCTCGGGAGCCAAGTGATGAGCTTATGTTTAATAATAAACTCATAATATTTTTTGGACTGGATTTCTTTATTTAAAAAAAAGCAAATGCAAAAAGTTTTAATTAAAAATAAAATAATTTGTTTAATACTTATATATAAGTTATAATTCAATTAAATATTTGATTTCAACGTAGGTTTTTTTATCTAACGTTGCTACAAAATAATCAAAAATTAATTGATCTTCTTAAAAATAAAATTTTTATATTTTTTTAAGAGTAAATTTGCTTAGTTGACTCACGAAAAATAAATTCTTCTAAGTCTAAACAGTTTCAT